CGATCGGCCGTTTCCCAAGCGTCAGATCGTTCAACATCGACCGATTCTGGGTCGCCAGGGGCGTCCAACGTGGAACGCCTGCGGCGGGGTCGCCGCTGGTCGACACGACGCGAACCTGCCGTAAAGAGGATCGGTCGATCAGCGTCGTTGGCGGCACATTGGAAACCGAGGAGAGAGGCGATAAAGCCAGACATCCCTCCCCGAGAAGTTGCCCGTGCTGGCCCCACCAAGGCACTACTATCTTCCCGGCACTATGACTGTGTTCATCCCGAGTCGACTTCTGATGGTCCCCGAGCCCGAGGTCCAGATTTCCTGCGAGGTGAACCGTCTCGCTCCTGGCGGTTTTCCTTTGGCGTCGGCACCTGGGGCCCGTTGGCGGTGCCCGGAGCCATCACGAAGGGATCCGAAACGAACAGCCAGCCAGCCCCAGGAGAGGGGTCGGGGCCTCTGTGGGGCCGCGCTGATGCCTGGGAACGGGCCTCCGAAGCCAGAAAACGTGACTCCAGATTTCGTAATAAAAGGGAGGGGGGGTCTCATTTCGGGGGGGGGGGGGGTCTCTTCCAGGCTATCTTGGAGGGCCTAGGGGGTCCGGGGACGATGTTTTGGAGGGTTCTCCCACGGGGGAGGTCTGAAATGGCTTGTCCTGGAGGGCCCAGACCCTCCCTTTTATTACGAAATCTGGAGTAGGCCCGAGGGAAGAAGGAACTGGTGGAAACGAGTTTCCCCTGGGCTGGAGCAACAGAAAACCACATGAACACAACCTTTCGGAGCTTCGCGCGGATTTCCTGGATCTGCGCTGGGGCCCCTTGGCGGCGCCTCCAGCGCTGCTTTTATGGCGCGCTCCGCGCGCTGGGGAGGGGGGCCCAGCACGGATCCAAGAGGTCCTCGCGGACCTCCGAAAATTTCTGTTTTATGGACGCACGCTCATCCGGAGTCTCCCTGTTGACGGTTCCCGGAGCCCAGGGGGGCCCTCTGGAGCGCGAAAACGGGGAAAGGCCTCCAGGACCACAGGGTTCACTTCTGAGCTCGTGCGGCGTCTGAGCCCACTCGGCAGCCGAATGGGCGGCAGCCGAACGGGCTCGGTTTCAAGAGAGCACCGGAAAATCGGCCGCTCGGAAGCCGAACGGGTTCGACACCGAGCCCGTTCGGCGGCCGAATGGGCTCAGACGCCGAACGGGCTCAGAATAGAACCCTTGGGGAGCCCTTTTCTCCAAGACCCATCTTCTTCACAGAAGACAGCAACGCAACCAGACACACACACACACACACACAACAACAACAACAACAACAACAACAACAACAACAACAACAACAACAACAACAAAAAAAAAAAACAAAAAAAAACTTCCCAAGGGAGCTGCCTGGCGACGAGAGGCCTCCCAGCGGCTCAAAAAGAAAGAAACACTGACCTAAACCACACACATCAATCCCCAATCCATCGATCATCAAATCTCGATCCTTGAACGATCGACCCTCGAGCCTCGATCTCCCAACGATCGATCCGCGAAAGCAGCTGCCAGGAGAGCCCGATCGATCGATCCTCTACGCTTCGATCCCCGATCCTTCCTCTCCCCTCATTCTCCTCCTCCTCCTCCTCCTCCTCCTCCTCCTCCTCCTCCTCCTCCTCTCCTCCTCCTCCTCCTCCTCCTCCTCCTCCTCTTCCCCCTCCTCCCCACCTCCTCCTCCCTCCTCCTCCTCCTCCTTCCTCCTCCTCCTCACCTCCTCCTCCCTCCTCCTCCTCCTCTCCTCCTCCTCCTCCTCCTCCTCTCCTCCTCTCCTCCTCCTCCTCCCCTCTCTCCCCCTCCTCCTCCCCCAAGCTAGAGCGCAGGATCAGCCGGCATCGCATCGGGAAACCGCACCGGGCCGACATGTGTGTGCCGGATCGGGCTACATCGGCACGACGGCACGGAGCCGAAAAATTCGCATCTAACCGGGCCGCGCCAGAGGCCGCCCAGCAGCGCCGTGCAGGCACCGACCCGAACACCAGACCCTCGGAACACCGCAGCATCGAGCCGGACTGGGCCGGCCAAAACATCGACACCGAGATCTGGATGTGTGTTGCTCCCATCGCGCTTAAGGACCACATCCCAGAAAGAATGTCGAGGACCCCGAAAAGTGTCGAAAAAATGTCGAAAGAGTGTCGGACGAGTGTCTCCCAGGGCCCGACACGTGAAAACCCTCGAGTTTCGGTACTTGTTTGATGCTCGAAATTCTTACTGGTGGTCAAGGCTAAAGTAGGTTGGAACATCATACAGTCGGGGGCTTGACCTAAGGAACCCAAAATAAGGAACGAGGTCCCTTTTTTCATAATTTAACCTTCGATTTCATAAGGAAAGCCTGAGGCAAGCTGTGAAACACTTAAGGAACGCGGAGCCCCTCCCCAACGCAAAAGGTTCCTTCTTCAGGGCCCCGACTGTATGTCTGGATCGACGCTATCGGAACGGACCCCCTGGAGCGTGGCGCTTCGTGGAGGCATCGCCGATGCATCGGCGACGCGGCGCGATCCTCCGACCCCATCGACTCAGACCCGATTCGGGAGGCCTGGAGTATTTCGACATCGGGATCGACTCCATCGAGGTGGCACTCCTGGAGTTAGAGAGTTAGAGGAAAAAGAACTATGCACATACACCGATTCTGGCCAGGCCCATCCCGAGCCCAGGATCGGTGCATACGCCCTCCTACCTTGGCTGGGAAGGTAGATGCACCGATCCTGGGTCAGGGATGGGCCTTGCCAGGATCGGTGCATGTGCAGAGTTCCCTTCGCCCGATGGAGTGTGGCGTTCCCTGAGAAAGCCGCCGACGCGAACAAAAATGATGAAACGTCGCGACAAAAATCGCGACCGGAGGCCCAGACCCGATCTTCATGCGCCTTCCTTCGGGCCAAGCCGATCAGTGGCCTTGCAGACGTGCTGCAGCGGATTCCTGCGTGGACTTCTGCGTGGACTTTTACCCGAAGCGGCGAGCGAACAACGCAGTGAAGTTCGCGCGGATGTTTGGTTGGTCTTCATTCCTGGCCCAGAAAGAGCCGCACGAAACTCACCTCGAAACCCGGAACGACATTCTCCAGGACATCCCGGGCCCACCCGATCTTTTTCCGAGCGAGATCCGCTGTGCGATGCTGGCGCCCTGATCAGTGGGGGCCCCAGGGGGCCCGTAAACCTGCGCGAAGGCGCCCAGCTCGGCACAGAACCTGCGGCGCCAGGCCCCAACCCAGACCCCCCGACGTCGCCACTTCGCGCACAGCGTCGAGCCTCGGAGGTCTGGACCCCTTCCCGGGGGACCCGCTTTTCGTCCTGAGCCGTTTCTTGACGGCCCCGCGGCCCGGGCAGGGCCCCAGTTGCCGAAAATGACAGAAAGATCTCCCGCCGCAGTTCTTCCCGACCCTCCTGTGGTGTTCGGTCCTCTTTTTCCAGAGACAGCGCCCCGCGTTCCTCCTCTCCTCTCCCCTCCTCTCCTCTCTCCTCTTCTCTTCTCTCCTCTCCTCCTCCCCTTCCTCCCTCCCGTCACCCCCCTCACACGTTTCGTGGCCCCAAAGGAAGCGCCACCGAAGGTCCCAGTGGCGCAGCCCGCAAGCGTCTCCCACACCCAGTACAACGTTTCGTGGCCCCGTAGGGAGCTCCACCGACGGTCCCAGGGGCGCAGCCTGCATGCGTCTCCCCCACCCACTACAGCGCTCCGTGGTCCTACAGGGAGCTCCACCGACGGTCCCAGGGGCGCAGCCCGCATGCGTCTACCACACCCAGTACAGCGCTCCGTGACCCCATAGGGAGCTCCACCGACGGTCCCAGGGGCGCAGCCCGCAAGCATCTCACATACCCAGTACAACGTTTCGTGGCCCCGTAGGGAGCTCCACCGACGGTCCCAGGGGCGCAGCCCGCATGCGTCTCCCCCACCCAGTACAACGCTTCGTGGCCCCATAGGGAGCTCCACCGACGGTCCCAGGGGCGCAGCCCGCATGCGTCTCCCCCACCTTGTACAAAGTTTCGTGGCCACGTAGGGAGCTCCACCGAAGGTCCCAGGGGCGCAACTCGCAATGTGCCTCACACACCCAGTACAATATTCCGTGGCCTCATAGGGAGCTCCACCGAACGTACCAGTGGCGCAGCCCGCATGCGTCTCATCCACCCAGTACAACGCTTCGTGGCCCCTTAGGGAGCTCCACCTAAGGTCCCAGTGGCGCAGCCCGCATGCGTCTCCCACACCAAGTACAGCGCTTCGCGGCCCAGTAGGGAGCTCCACCGAAGGTTCCAGTGGCGCAGTCCGCAAGCGTCTCAAACACACACACACACACACACACACACACAGTACAACGTTCCGTGACCCCATAGGGAGCTCCACCGAAGGTCCCAGTGGCGCAGCCCGCATCGTCTGACCCACCCAGTACCACGTTCTGTGGCCCCATAGGGAGCTCCACTGAAGGTTCCAGTGGCGCAGCCCGCATGCGTCTCCCCCACCCAGTACAGCGCTCCGTGGCCCCATAGGGAGGTCCACCGAGTGTCCCAATGGCGCAGTCCGCATGCGTATCCCCCGCCAGGTACAGCGCTTCGTGGCCCTATAAGGGGGCTCCACCGAAGACGGACCTACGACTGCGGTATTCACAGCTGCACATGGTTGGGTCCTTCGCCAGGCGAACTTCACAACACGCGAGGAGGTCTGGGAACCGAGCGCCTGCTCTGCCCGCCGCGACGTCGGCGATGCATTGACGATGCACGGGCGATGTCGGCGATGCATCGGCGACGCATCGGCGACGCTGGCGTGGAGAAGATCGGGCTCCACATCGAGCCGCATCGCCGAGGCATCGGCGAGGCGCCGCGGTCCTCCGACCCTGCTCCGGCCCCATCTGGGAACGGACGAAGGAACGACCACCAATGCGGACAGCAGTCCGATCCTACTTGAGACCAGGCGAGTGAGGCCGTGGCCTCCAAAATACTAGTGTGCATGGTGAGGCAAGCATGCGAGACTCAGGCCCTTGCTAGAGCTCTTGCCCTGCCCGCCGCGGC